GCTTCCTGCTACTAACAATAGAAAGACCGAACGTAAGTCATAACCCGCAGGCAACTCGTGACCAGCGGTGCGTAGGGTTACACTTCATCCGATCCTCCAGCAACCTGATGAGAACCAAGCTGGCAGTCCCAGATGTCCCCTGAGCTCACATTCTATTCTTGGTTCCGGTCACCGTTGGGTGGACCATGATACTGCCAATGAATCCGCTTCACCAAGCTGCTGTTGGAGCTCGATTTGGGACTGACCTTCAGAATAGTAGGTGAGGGTTAACTGGTCACATGAGATTCCAGGCATACTGTCATTTTCTTGTCTTCTCTGCTCTGTGCTAGGGGGTCACCTACCGTGCTCCTGAGACAGTGGTCAGCCCATTTTCTGTGAGACAGCATTCACTTCATGTTGCCAACAGTAGCAAGACAGTAGCTTTTCTGTTGGTAAATTCTGTCCACATTAACAACCATTTCCAGGCATGAAATCTCATTAAAGGAAAACTTCTGACTCAATGTGGTTGCGATCATTAATCAAGTTGAGGTTGAAACAGAGGCGAGTATCTATTAATCATGAGAATGAGGCTGGTTGTATAGAAAGACACCAAGAAGACTGACCATGGTCCATGCTTCGGTAGCATCTGATAGCACCCAATGAATTAGTGAATTAGCCTGTCACAGCTTCATGGATGCTGGGAGAAGATGCAACATGCCCTTGTCAAGAGGAGAGAGAGCTTATTCCCCATAGCAATTCTAACAAAGCAGTAGCATTTCTTGGTGTTAACTTTTAGTGTCACGTTTTTGGAAGTCTCAACATCTACAGAACTGCCACAGAGGCCGGATGACACTGCACATGCAGTGGCTGCCTTCTCTGAACTTGGGGAACCCCAATCCTTTATAACGGGCGGTAAGCATGTTTGCTCTTCGTTTTAAAGAGTGGCACTCTCTCTAGCTCCCAAGGCAGCTTGAAAAGATGGCCTAGAACAAAGGCAATCTCTGTTCACAGACATGCAGAGACACAAGAGACCTAGGTATGGTTTGTCCCCAAGGAGTCCTGTAGTGGAATTTTGATCCTCAGTGTGGCCATGTTAAGAGGTAGTGGACCTTTAAGAGGTGGGGCCTGGTGGGAGGTCACTGGGTCTTGAAGTGCTACCCTTGGAAGGGACCCAGTAATTCTCAAGGAACCCAGGCTTGCTCTCTTTTGAGAGCTAGCAAGCCTTGCCCCTCCCAGATCTCTGGATTCCGGTCACACTGTGTGATCTCTCTCTCATTCTCTCTGTCTCTCCCACGGGCTCCTGTCATGATGCCATCTGCCAATGAGGCAGCCAGGGGGGTGTCTTGCAAGAGCCAACAACGTGCTGTTTGGACTTTCAGTTTCCAAAACTATGAGCTAAATAAACCTTTTTTTTCTTTATGCCCTACCCAGCCTTAGGCATTTTGTTACAGCAATGGCAAATTGACTAATACACTCATGTAGAATTGATTCCAACAATCCCAACGCCAAACTCTCTCTCTATATATATGTGTGTGTGTGTGTGTGTGTGTGTGTGTATGGCCTATATAGTCTATATAGCAACTATATTAAAAGTGCACTCCTCCTGCCCCTCTCTGCCTGTCTAGAATCCACTAGAACAAAGGGAACTCTGAGAAAGCCACCCAGCTAGCTCTATTGAATGTTTGCTGGGGAGCCCAAACATGAAGAAAACACACACCAGACCGAATCTGGACCACCTTCTCCAATGACCCAATGAAGAACCAGCAAGGCAGGATTTTAGGACCTCATCTGTAACTGCTTCAATATCAGTTGCCTATTGAAATGTCTGTCTGGTGTGTTGTGGTAGGAACACCCACAGAGCCAACAGAGGTGGAAAACAATCCAGTCTTTTTAAAACGACAATTCTTCCCCAGGCAAGATACACCAGGAACCATTCAACAAGCGCTTCAAGCGCTTGTTTCTCAAAGGGGTGGGAGGGAACTCCATGGGGCCCGGGCAGTTCTTTCTCACTCACGGGGGAATGTGAAAAGCCACACATTTCTTTACAGGCAAATTACAAACACACAGTAAGTAATACCCCAAATCCCAAAGGAAATGAAGCTAGCTTTTAGCAGTCACTGTCTAGCATCACCTGGTTAAAATAAATTCAAGTAGAGACACCATGAGGGAAAAATATTGGTGTCCCTCCCATGTCCAATTTGCAAATGGCTTCCAGAAAGTTCCAGCTACTGAATATGAGTTTTGTCCTCTTAGACCACAGGCAGGGTTCTCGCCACCCACAGCCTTTCCCGCCATTCCCTCTGAGGCCATGTGGCGCCATGGCATCAACAGAGGAAGGCGACAGGGCAGTAGGACAGCGTCCCAGAGTGGCTGGGTTCCCAGGGAGGGTAGAATGGGGTGGGGATGGGACCAGCCGTCCTCTTGTTAAACAGCAGTCCTGCAGACAACAGATCTTACCTTCCCAACTACCGCGCTTTCCTACAAAGACCAGTAACACCAGCCCTCATCTGTGGTTGCTAAGCTGACCTTGCACAGCACAGAGTCTCTAATGGAGACTCAGTGATATGGACTTGACTATGAACTCAACTTGATATGAACTCTGTATATCCCAGGAGTTGAAAAACGTTGTTTTCTTAGGAAAGTGATGGAAGGAGGTACTCCATGCTCAGGTGCTAAGCCCAAGTCCAGGGGCATTATGGTGATGGGAAGCCACACGGGTGGCTAAGCACCCACTCCATCCACACAGCCTTCAACCTAACCCCATCAACTCAGGGACCTGGCTCAACCAGGATGCCCCTCCCGGGTCTCACAGCTGTGAGTGGGGCTGACAGTAACCCACTACAGAGGAAGGAAAAGTCAAGTTAATGAGGGCTTCAGAGTCCAATTTGCTCGGGTTTGTATCAGTTCTGTTCCTGTGTGACCCCAGGTAAGCTGCTAAGCCTCTGGGCGTTTATTTTCTCACCCGTACGATGAGTATAGTGCATCTATTTCACAAGATGAAGGTCAGGATTAAGTGAGATGAAGCTTATGAGCTCTCAGCACCGTGCGAACTTTGATGACAACTGTTATAAACAGAAGTTGCTGCATGAAGTTTAAACTTGGACTGAACACTGAATGTTAGGCGACACTGAACTAGAATTCGGATACTTTGCAGCCCTTCCCCTAGTGATGAGACTATATATGTGATAAATAGCCAGTGTGCTAATGTCACAGCTGCCACCTGCTGCTATATAAATTCATATGAGGAGCTGAGGTCGAACTAGAGCCATCCGGCAGCCTGGTGATTCTCATTCCGGAGAACTTGAAGAAACACCCCAGCTCTGGTCATAGAGGTTCTGATACAACTGCTCAGAACTGCCCGGGGTCCAAGCTTCATTTGTTTTTAAAGTGTCCCAGGTCATTTTAAATGTACAGTCAGTTCTAAAAACCAATGCCCTCGCTGCGAAGCAAACAGTTGAGTTTTCTTAAAGAATCATTTGTCATATTCTATTGGCAAACACATACTGAACTCCTTGATGGGCTTAGCCTAGGATTAAGTCCCAGTCACCTCAAAGGTCCTAGAGTCTAGCAGGAGAGGCAAACAGGTGGGCGTGCTGGCCATACCAGAGATACACGCTGTGACAGGGCGGACGCTGCAGCCCTGGGTGGAAGCTTCAGGCAGATCCAACCATGCTCTCTGGGTAGAGCTGACGAAGAGGCTGTTTCAGGCCAAGGCCATCGATTTTATAAAGTCTGGGAGGAGGAGATATATAGAATGCTCCAGAAACCCCAAGGAATTCAGTGGGACTGCACAATAGCATAAGGCCAATAGCAGAGGCAGGAGACAGGAACCAGCTGCTCAGAAGGCAAGCAGAGGGGCTGGGTTTTAAGCAGGAGCAGAATGCCCAGGTCATGATGGACACCAGGTAGCGAAGAGACTGGACACCGAGAAGTTAAAGATTCCAAACTACCTGCAGCCAATAACAGAAGTTTAACCAGAGACAGCTTTGAGGGGTGTTAGCAGGGGGCAAGCTTGTTGTGCTGGGAAGGACCAGGAGTTATGGGAGAGGCCCAAGCTTCTCGGGGGTGGGGGCACTCAGGGTGATTAGTGAAGCTAGGCCCAGAGCAAGGCGGGGGAGGGGCCGTGAGCATGGAAGAAGGGAATTCTCGCTTTGTTGGAAGATGGTAACTTGGGCTGGTCAAGCCAAATGGAAAATCCTGCCAGTTCTGCATGTTTCTGGCCGTGAGCTCTAATAATAATTGTGGGGAGCAACCCGGACTGGACTAAGTTACTGGAATTAAGACTTATTCTATGCATCTGCTCTCCCACAATATGGCACTGGGAGAGGAGAAAACAGCTTCTACGCAGCTGCCTCTTGCCAACTTGAGTGATGACCTCCAGGAGCTGATCCTGCTCCTGATTGGAGGAGAGCAGCGTACTCGGCGTGTGGGCAGCCGAGTTGGGATTGGTGGAAGAGGACTATAAAGGAGGAGAGAGACAACATGCACCAGGAACATCTATCTGAAGGAACACCTGAGCAGCCCCCGAGAGAGCCGGCTGGCGGTGTGCCGCTCCCCTGCGGAAGTGGGGAAAGTGGCCAAGGGGAACCGCCCTTCCACGGAGGTGGAAGGGACAGTAGCCAACCCGGGAAGAACCAGCAGCAAACCCGGGGAGGGCCGAGCAGACGAAAGAACAGCGCAGGGTCCTGTGTCGTTCCTCCATGAAGACGGGGAGCGACAATAATTAGAATATTTAATGGATTCAAATTCTTCCTGGAGATTTCTATTAGGTGGGAAATGGGAGTTTTAATGACAGGGAAGAGACATGGCCTGGTACCTGCTGAAGGTGACCCTGACAAGGTGGCCCGGCTGCTCTGTGTCCACAGCCCCATCTGACTGATGACACCTCAGACACAGCCAGGACTACGCGCCTGGAAATACCTTAAATAAAAACCCAGATGCTGGTACCGCGTGCCCCTCAAAGAACGGACAAAGCAACATCATCCCATCCACGGGTTGGGTGAGGCATATGTGTAAACAGATCAGTAAGCAGCTCCATTTATTTCAGTAAGTAGCTTGTAAATAAATCATTGGTAAACATTACAAAATTAAATACATTTTCAAAAGCTTGCCAGTATACGTAAAATTCACAAACATAGTTCTTTTAAAAAATAAAATATGTTCAGAGCACCCTTGATAGAAAATGCTTGACCCCTGTGCTCAGACAGGGCCACCCAGAGACACCTTAGAGCAGGTGGGGTTTCCAGGGGAAACAGCAGGGGCCACCTGAAAGAAGAGTTTCTTCTCTTACCTTTGACTCCGCCCACATCCCAGCTGAATTCAACTTTGGGCTGTGCTCAGGCCTGGCTCTGAGCATGGGGACAGGGGTGCATAATTAGGGCCAGGACCCCCCCCCCCCCCAAAGCTCTCACCATAAGCCATGGAAATGGAATCTCCGTGCTTCCAAATCAGCAAATGGTGCCGTACTAGCGGTCTTGTCACTCCTCCACCTGTCCAGCCCTGAGGTCTCACTCCCAGTCTGGTGCCACCCAGGCTCAGGAGGGACCAGACTGCGTCAGAGGAAGAACACACTGCCTTGGTAACCACTTTTTGATCTGCTTTCAGGGAGAGGGAACAACACCCAGTATTTGGTTGAAAGCGGAGAATTCAATGCTATCCCATGCTTCCCCTTCTGCTGCAAAACACTGCTCTGAGAGCGTGGGCATTTCTCTAGAAATCAAGTTCGTTCTTCAAACAAAGGGTTCATAAAACTGTAAAAGACCACAAATGAGGCAATAAGCACATGACCTGGCAAAGCATCCCAACCAATGAAATAATACAAAGTCCATAAATGAAGCCCTTGACCAACTCAACGTTGTCGTAGCGGAGCGCGTGAGAATAACGGATACTCCGAATTCTTTCACTTTGGTGCACAGAGTGAATGTTGAGGGTCAGCTGCACGGACGGGAAGAACAGCCCAGTGACCTCCCACTAAGGGACGGCAAGGAGTTTATTCCGTCAATGTGAAATGAAGCTCACAGCGACATCTTAAATGACTGGTGTGTAGATATATACAAGTATGAGAAATTTGACCTGTGAGTCAGATGTACAATATAAGAAAAAAGTATTCCCAAATTAGCTGTAAGAAAACCATCTTCTCTGTGGAGTAAGGTCCTGAACGCCTGAGTCCTTGCAGAAAATGCTGCCTGCCCTGGCCCGTCTCTGAATGTCCACCTGCTTTGATAATCCTTGGCTGGGCTGTAGTTAGAGTCATGATATCTTGGCTATTAAAATATTACACTATCAAAAACCTTTAAAAACAGCAACAGCAACGATCTTGAATAAATGTGTAGAAGATTCCCCTGCACACCAAAAAAAAAACAAAAACAAAACAAAAAACAAACAAACAAAAAAACAAACCAAACCACTTGTTCTTAAGGACAACTATTCTTTAACAAAAGTCGTCATGGAGTCTACATCCCAGAACCCTGTCTTCGTCTCCGGAGAACTCCGCCCTGATCCAGAATCATACGCTCTTCTTCTGTGGAGGGCTCAGTTTCCGCATGCCTCTTATCCGAGAGAGGAGCTCTTTGATAAATTCCTAAAAGACATAGAAGCAATTCATATGAGAGATCACGCTATTAAAATCTGTTTAAAAATCTGCCTAAAGTAATTTATGTCGATTGCAGATGATTTTCATTGATCAATGTGGTTGGATGTGTTCTCCAGGAAATGTTCAAAAAAAAAAAAAAAAAAACAAGCATGCTTAGGACTGGTATTGTGGCACAGAGGGTTAAGCTCCCTGCCCACAACCCTGGAATCCTGTATCACCCCTGTTCAGTTCCCAGCTGCTGCACAATGTGATCCAGCTCCCTGCTAGTGTCCCTGGGAAAGCAGCAGAGGACAGCCCATGTGCTTGGGGCCCTGCACCCACATGGGAGACCTGGATGAAGCCCCTGGTTCCTGGCTTCAGCCTGGCCCAGCCCCCAACCATTGCAGCAATTTGGGGGAGTGAACCAGTCGATGGAAGATGTCTCTCTCTCTCTCTCTCTCTCTCTCTCTGCCCTTCTAACTCTGCCTTTCAAATAAAAGTAAGTTAATCTTTAAGAACAAAACAAAACAAATGAAGCATGCTGAAACTTCACATTGCAACGCTTCCTTCCCGCTGCACTCTCTTTAGGGAGAAAATCAGGCCACCTTCCATCATGAACCTCCACCCAGTCCCTGCAGGCATTTGTGGTTAGGTCCAGGTTGGCGTCTGAGATTGCGCTTCTCCACCTAGCTCACAGGGGATGCTTGGGGGAGTCCCTGGACCGCACCTGCGCTAGCAAGGCTAGACCAGTGCTTCTCAAACTTGGGCCTGCATCAGGACCACCAGGGGAACTTACAAACCAGAGCAAAGACACATTTTATACTCTAATTCAGCACCCACACACACTCTCTCTCACAGCCCTGGACTTGAGATTTTCAGGACAAATACTACATGGATACTCTCTGATCTTCCACTTACATATTAATGCTGAGGGAAACCTACCAACATGATTTCATGACCTGCAAATGATCAGAACCCAAAGACAGAAGAGTGATCTAGAATGGCTTCCACCAAACACCATCAGGAATCTGTCCTTGTTGCCTCGTGTTTGCAAATGTTTCGCTACCAAACAAATCGCCTTTATTAGGCCATAAATGCTTCATCTTCCAACATGACATTTGTCAAAGACAAAGCTGACAGCCAGTCTGCTTCCTGATCACCAGTGGAGGAGAGATCTGTGCCCAGTGGGGACCATCGGAGAACAAACCTACCAGGAAACCTTAGTTAGTCTCCATCAGGGTGGTGGGCATCTCCTTGCTTCAAGCCATGCTCTCGAACACAAGCTCCCAGAGCAAACATGCCCTATGCTACTCCCCAGCTTTAAAACACAAGCTGAAATATCCAGTCCATTAACCACCACAATGCTTTGCTAAATAACCTTTCTGCTATTATAAACGTGCTATGTGCTTTTTTCTCAAAAAGTTGGAAAGTACAAAACAGCAGCAATGTACTCTTCAGAATTAACCACTATGAACACTTCATTCTATGGACATTGTTTTCACCTAATTAAGACCATACTGTATAAGTATATTCTTTCTCTCCCCCCACACAGTGTTATGGCAGAAGCCTTCTCCCACAACACTAAACGGCCTTTCTAAAAATGAACAGGAATGGTTATGCATTGTTGTACTGTATGGGTGCTGTACACTCTGCTTAACTTCCCAACTCTGGATCTTTGTATAGTTCCTGCCTGGATTTCCAAAATTCTAACTAGCACCTGTGTCTGCAGGCTGCAATATTCCATTTAGAGGGCTAACTCTGCAAGTAGGTCAAAGGATACAAATATTTTAATCATCATTATTTCTAAACTTGCACAGAATGAAACACAAGGAAAGTAAAATCTAGGCCCCATGTTAATGTCCTGAATACTGTCTCTGTAAAAAATTTTCTCGGGTGGAAATAGTGTCTTATTTCCCCTGTTATATTCAACTTTCAATTTGAAAAGTTAAATGGCTTTCCTTTTGCCCCCTTTACTACACAGTTTAACCAATACTGGTGTTCAGCACACCAGTACAGTTTCAATTTTGTTATTTTTAAAATCTTTTACTCAATTGGCAACTATACACTACTTTAGCATTTGGGTGTAAATTTTCTTTCTTTTTTCCAGAAACAAAGATGAGAATCAAAAACTCTGAAATTTATTTTCATAACCTCCGTAATTTTTTCTGCACTATTTTAAAAACATTTTTCACAAAGTAAAGACCAAAATCACATAAAGAATAACGTGCCATTGTCTTAAATATGAAAGTAATTTGGTCACTTAAGCCAAATTGATATTCTCTCCAACAGACTATCATGGTTGTTTAACATGCGCATAAATCTCAGATTACAAAGTTTAAAAGGGGGAAGGTATTTGAGCACCAGTTAAGACACTGCTTTGGACGTCCCATATTGCTGTGTCTGAGTTTTGAGTCTGACCTCTGCTTCTGGTTATAGCTTCCTGCTAATGAGAACACGGGGAGGCAACAGGAAACAGATCAAGTACTTGGGTCCCTGCCACCCATGTGGGAGACCCACATGGAGTTCTCCACTCCTGACTTTGGCCTGGCCCAGTTCTGGCTCTTGCAGGCATTTGGAAAGTGAACAAGCAGGTTGATATTATGCACACTCTCCGTCTCTCTCTTTCTGCCTTTCAAAGGAAATGAAAAAGACATTAAATTTTCTAAAAAGTAGCTAAGTCTTTTTTTAAAGTTTAAATAAATAATTTGTCTTATGTTTATGGCATACTAACATTAATGAAAAAGTCTCGTTTTAAATTCTGTATTAATATAATTTATAGCCTGTATCTTAATATACTGTCTTTGTTCATTATGTGCATATTTTAAACTTTTCATTAAGTTTGCATAATGGAATGTTCAGCTGAAAACAGCAAGCTAAAAACCAGCGACACCAATATTGACTCCATACAGAAACGTGGCAGCGCCACTCACACAGGATGCTGTTGGTGACAGAAGATTCTCAAGGCTTTCTAACCAAAAGTACTCTGATACTCTTGTCATGTTTCTCAACAGCACTCGAGACTGGTAGCCACAGTTCACAACTCAGACCTGGGTTAGGGACTCTGATTAAGTCAGAGAAGGGTTGCCCCTTTGAGAGGACGTCTGAGTTGAGATGGTGGTGAACAGAGACAGGTCAGCTTGGAGAAGACCTGGGGACCCTGGTCACAGCACACAAGCAGAGCCCTGCAGAGAAGCCAAGGCATGGGCATCCCTGGCACAGAAAGGCTGGAGTGAGTGTGGTAGAGCATTGCCGGGGTGCTGGGAGAGGACCTCCTTGGCCAGAGTAAGAGTATTGTTGGTACAGCAGAAGGGAAGCCACCAGAGGCTGTGAGGTAGGGACACAACACCACCTGATTCACATTTCCATAAGCTTTCTTTGAGTCTTATGAAGATGAATTAAAGGTCAATTTCAATGTGGAATGAAAGAAGTATTTTTGCAGTGTCCAGACAAGAGATGCCGGTGGCTTAGAGTCTGTTAATGGAAACCAAAATGGAAATAAGTGGGCAGATGTGGGGCCCACTTCATAGGCAGAGCCAATAGACTTGGCAGCTGGACTGAATGGGGGCAGGGGATGGTGGAGGAGGGAAATGGGACAAGAAGGGAGTCAAGGTCACACCCAGATGAAAGGATGGTGCCATGTGCTGAGAGGGGGAATAACCGGAGGAGGAAGAAACCAAGTTCACGGATTTGTGATGAGATGTCAGGAAGCCAACAAATACAATCTTGGGTCTCCCCCTTAGCTGAAAGCATAAAATATGGACATCAGTAGCATCTAGATCAGCAGCTTTCAATGTAAAAACAAACAACAGCAACAATAACAAGATACCTATGTGTGATCCACAGAGATATAAGGCTGAAATGACGGTTCTGTGTCAGTCAAACTTGCAGTATTTTCCTTTTTGAAAAAAATAATAGGTTAACATCATCTAATGTGTCCTCACCCAAAATCTGCAAACACACGATGATCTAAATATAGGCTATGCCCTACAGCACCCAGTAAGCACACATGGCTATTTAAATTTAAATTCATCAAAAGAAATAAAATTTAATATTGAGTTAAGCTTACTAATCACATTTCAAGTACTCTACAGCCATATGTGACTAGTGGCTACCTATTTAAATAATACAGACAGAGTCATTTCCAGTGCCACAGAAAATGCTGTTGGACAGCACAGATGACAAGATGAATTACTTTGGAGAGTAAGTGTACACAAAGCAGCTAGAAGGCCAAAGATCAAGACCAGAGGCCTCAGCAAGTGAGGTCAGGTGGAGGAATCGGAGCCATAAGAGATGGGGGGAGCAGGGGCGAACCAGAGGGTGTACCATTAAGAAGCCAAGAATAGAAAGTGTTTCCAGAAGGAAGAGATACTCAGTGAGAGCTTAAGTAAACCAAGGACACAGACAAAGCCACTGGATTGGGCAAGAAGGGGCCCTTGTGTTCGCGACAGAGGCCTTAGTTGAATGGTTGGGAAGAAGTTCCCCCCAGTAAAATGTTCACTGTGACTTTTTGTGTGTGTGAGCAGTTTTATTAAGGTATAACTACTGTGCCATAAACTGGACACATTTAAGGTATACAAACAGCACATACAATCTGTAGGGTCAACGTAATAATATACTCAGTGCCTCCAGAAGTGTCTTTGGGCCCCTTTGCAATCCCTTCCTCTTCCAGAAAATGTGGATCTGTTTTCTGTCACTACAATTAGTAGATTCAGCCATACTGAGAGTTCATTTCTATTTTTTTGTTGTTGTTGAGTAGCATTCCATCATACAGATGTGCCACCATTTGCTTAACTCCTCACCTGTTTTCAGGTAATACTAGTCTTCATTGATTTTTCTTAAAATTGTGTGTGGCTATTCTGGGTCCTTTAAATTTTTTTAGAATTTTACAATCAGCTTGTAAATTTCTGCCAAAACAGCCTGTCGAGATTTTGACTGAGATTGCATTGTATCTGGAGAACTGACATCTTAGCAATAATGATCCTTTAACTCATGAATATGGTATACCTCTA